GCAAGGCCTGCGCTGTGCTCGGAGACGAGGGACATGTAAAAGTGCAGGGGGACAGAGCACTGAGCAGTGGAGACACCCCACAACTGGCGTCCTACTCAGTCAGACTGGGTCAGCCAGACTGATGCTCCTCGCTGAAATTAAGCGCATAATTTATAAACGGTCTTAAATACAAATAGGAACTGCCAGAACGACCTTTTCTCATAGACCTTTTCTCAACGACCTTTTCTCATTAGTATGACCTGGACCATATAATGATTAAATTGATCTTTACCCTCGCATGTGTGCGGCGTTTGCCAGCTTCTAATGTGTAGGGGGGGGGGGGGTCGGTTGGACCCCCCCCCCCTTGCCGTTTGGCCCCTGATCGAGCTAGAGCTTCGCGGAAAAAACGAGCGTGTTGCCCGTGACGAGAGGAAGCCGATGATACCCAATTTTAAGGTCCTAGGTCATTGGTTGACCTTCCAGGTCAGGTCAATGACCCAAAGTCGGGAAAATTGGGACCTGTTAGAAAGTCGTAAAGTGTGGCTGCTAAGGGGTTTTTCGGGGTGCTGATCACGAATATCGTGTTAGTTTTGATCACAGATGATGTCTTGAAGCATTTAGACCAGGTCGGGTTAGGTCAGGTCAGGTCAACCAGTAGGCGTCGTGACGGGTATTCGTAGTACGTGTCAACCGCCTCTGACAGCTTCGTAACATGTTACGAAGTCACCAAAACTACTTCGTAAATGTTCAAATGGTTGCTAAATTCGAATTCAGCTCCAAAAACTAGCCTAGAAACATGTAAAACTCGAAAAAGTGACCCGAGGTCACCCGAGGTCACCAAAGGTCAATGACCTGACCTGACCTTCAGGTGACCTTGACACACACGGGAGTAACATCAAATCACATGTTTGAACGTTTGAAACCACGAAAAGCTTGCAAACACGCGGCTAGTGCGAGCCGACATACGCGAAATCGCGATTCCGGCCAAACATGGTCTCGGAAAAGAGGTCACAGGTCAAAGGTCATTTGGGTCAGGGTCATGAAATTTTCAGGGTAGGTGTAAAATTGATCAATGCGAGGGTACTGAAAGTTTCGTCGCGATCGGCCGCTTTTTACGCGAGTTATTCGCGAAAAACCATGGGGGGGGGGTCCATCCGACCCCCCCCCCCCTACACATGCGAGGGTTTATTATGCTACATGCCACTAAAAATATTTTCTCTCCTTTTTCGGACAAACGACATTAATCTATAGCTAATGACAGGCTTGGAGCAACAGCAAGGACTTAACGTGAATTAATGGCATGGTATCAAAGTGTTCCACTGCCATACCGCCGGAAAGGAACATTATATACGAGCATACATTATGCATGTTGATCTCATTATTTTAATGTTTTACAGGCTAGCATAAAGTATAGTTGGTAAGTATCATGGATATGCATTTTAAATGCATTAACCCTTAAAATTTATAAACTATTCTTATCGGTCAACAAAGATAAATATGATTTATGAGCTCCTAGCAAAATCACAATTATAGATTACTACTAGGGTGACCCGCGTGCTCCGCAACGCGAAAAGGGGTATTTACCGTATTTACGATCGGCGGGTGTTTGATTGTTCTTGTGTCGGTTGGGTTATCAATCCATTTCGGTCGATTGCTTTTTGACGGCTAAACGTTTTGGTTTGGAAAAAAATATCCACCGCATCGAGGTGCCCGTGTCTGATAAGCATGCTTTCTACTTCAGAATCTGTTAAATGTGTTGGTGCGTAGTTTTATGACAAATGAAAGGCGTAGATAATTTTCGCTGAAAATGGTTCTGCGGAGGTTTGAAACATTTACATTTTTAAGAATACTGTTGCTTGTCATGCAAACGTGATGATTGGATCTAGGAGAGAATTGAATGCTCTTTCCAATGATAGTATATTTTCAATTATCAAACGTATTAGGTTAAGCAGCAAACCCCGTGTAATTATTTAGTGGCACATTATGGACAAATACCATTTTCTTCAGCGATTTTTTCCACCTTGTTTTTGATCAATTAGCTTTTCACAATTTTATTATGAGAGGCGGTACATTTCTCCTGCGAATAGGCGTTGTTTTGACTCACTCATTCTGACGGTCACGTGAAAATAAAATAAAATCCAAAATCCATTTAAAACGGCACTTTCAGAAATAAAATTGCCCTCACGTGTGCACGTGGCGCGTGCCAACTCCTGCACCGCACACCATTCGATAGCCCGTTCGATTCTCTACACGATGCTGTTTTCCCCGTACCGGTCGGGCCCAGGGTTACCGAGATATTGCACCGGGACCGGACCCGTGTCGGGCAAATTTGGCTGTTTTCGCCCGTTTTTGCCAGCCGATTAATACATGTAAAGTCTATGACGCGAATTTGCACTTTTCGGGCACGCGCCACGCGCTCGCTATCGACCCGATCGAGAAGAGACCCCTCAAAGGCACGTTGTCCATCCTTGTTCTATGAGTTGCGCAAACTTCAGCGCGGTAGGTGCAACGGTGTGACCTGTAACCCGCGCTACGTAGCACCATGTCGCGACCTCGGTTACAGACAGAAACTACGTCACCTCAAATAGTAATATAGACTAGGGTAACCCGCGTGCTCCGCAACGCGAAAAGGGGTATTTTCGATCGGCGGGTGTTTGGTTGTTCTTGCGTCGGTTGGGTTATCTATCCATTTCGGTCGATTGCTTTTTGACGGCTAAACGTTTTGGTTTGGAAAAAATATCCACCGCATCGAGGTGCCCGTGTCTGATAAGCATGCTTTCCACTTCAGAATCTGTCAAATGTGTTTTATAATTTAGGTGCGTAGTTTTATGCCAAATGAAAGGCGTAGATAATTTTCGCTAAAAATAGTTTTGCAGAGGTTTGAAACGTTTATATTTTTAAGAGTACTGTTGCTTGTCATGCAAACGTGATGATTGGATCTTGAAGAGAATTGAATGCTCTTTCTAATGATAGCATTTTCAATTGCCAAACGTATCAGGTTAAGCAGCAAACCCCGTGTAATTATTAAGTGGCACGTTATGGACAAATGTCATTTTCTCCAGCAATTTTTTCCACATTGATTTTGATCATTTAGCTTTTCACAATTTTTCCATGAAAGGTGGTACATTTCTCTAGCCAATAGAAATTGTTTTAACTCTCTCAGTCTGACGGTCGCGTGAAAATAAAATAAAATCCAAAATCCATTTAAAACGGCACTTTTTGAAATGAAATTGCCCTCACATGTGCACGTGGCACGTGCCAACCCCTGCACCGCACACCATTCGATAGCCCGTTCGATTCTCTACACGATGCTGTTTTCCCCGTACCGCTCGGGCCCACGGTTACCGAGATATTGCACCGGGACCGGACCCGTGTCGGGCAAATTTGGCTGTTTTCGCCCGTTTTTGCCAGCCGATTTCATCGAAAAGACGTTTTTGCATACCTTTCACGGCGCCAAATATCCATCGCCACAGTACCTACGCATGTAGGTACCTACAATACAACAGTACATAGAATTGTACCTCTACGTGTATGATCATTAGCGCAGGGTCCGTGCGTCAACAAACGTTTTTTTTTTCCTCTATCACAAGTGCGCCGCCATTGAAGCGCGTACGTGCTGTTCAGAACGTCGCTGCACCTGGTGCAGCTGCGAGCGCTGATTAGCGGCTTAGCTATACAGGGCCGTCTGGAGCAGGCTGGGAGCTCGCCAGCCGGTAAACAAGGCCACTGGGCTCCACTTGAGCTTCCTGCTTCCGAAGCGGAATATCGTAAGTGTCGGCAAACTGCTTCATGATGGTCTAGAAACTCATTAGCGAGGGTAATAGTGAAGCACATAATGAATTACGTGTTTATTCAGTTGATAAATGGTGCATACATAACATTTCCTTTGACAAACAGATATTCCACTATTATGTATTATTTGGGACAATGACTTCCTTTGCCTTGGAAATGAGGTAGGCCGCTCGAGAGTATAAACGGCTGATGGAAGTCATGAAGGCAAAGGCTACCAAATATTGAGCTTAGTCCGATCACAGAGCCTGCAAAAAAAAAAAAAAAACAGATGGCTGCTACAGTATGTAGTCGGGGACCATTTCCAGTATTTTGAAATATTTTGTGTAAAAAACAGTCAGAAGCTTAGATTTCACAGCCAAATGTCTTCATATTACTGTTTATCAGCATGCATTTATTGCATACAACTTTACATTGCAAGAAGATGTGGTGCAGACTTGCAATTAGCCTCATTTCACCGCATACCACCCCATATCCGAGTTTTACTTCAAGTGATCATTTTCTACATCTGGCAGATGATGAAGCGTTAAGCCTAAGCTACACTAGCATGAATTCCGACGTTTTTTCGGTTTCTGCGGGATTTCGGCTCGCGTCGTCAAGTTCGCCTCATAGCGAATGCATTGCGCAAGCTACACTGCCAGTCTGGCGTCCCGTGGAACGAAAACCCGCAAAAACCGACGAGTCGGAACCGAAAAAAAGTTCAGAGCTGTGAACTTTTTTTCGGTTTCTGCGGGATTTCGTTTTAGTGATGGATGATTAGAAGTGATTGTTGCTAATAATATTGTGACGATGGAACAGTTTCAAATGTAAATGATGAAAATGGTGTAATTCATGATTAAATAAGACAAAATGTGTTTCAAAACTCAGCATTCTACATTAAATATGATAATTGTAATTAAACTGACAAATGATTATGATCGAAAATCTTTTCTTGTTAGTTGCAAAATCTTTAAAACAATTATTTAATTATAATTTTGTTAAAACACGATAATATTTAACATGAATAATTAAGTAAATTGATCACTTATCCATCACTATGCTATAAACAACACCGTCCACGCGGCGGCCGCCCGGAACGAAAAAACGCAGAAACCGTAAAAACGCGGAAACCGAAATCACGCAGAAACCGAAAAAAAACGCTGATAGTGTAGCCTGAGCTTTAGAAAAGTGAAGAAGCTTTCAGCATACCATTGACAGCACCCACCGGCTATAAGTCAGGCGCCAAAACACCGCCACTGACGCATAACTCATGTCGGTGAAGGAACTAAAACAACCATGACAAAATAATAAACACTCTCCGGTCCAATCCAAGCACGGTGCTGTCCAAGCCAAACGCCGGAACTACGCTCCAGGTGTCTCCGTTCGTCCTGATAGCCACCCGGGGTCCACCTGCCATCCCCCCGGATCTCCCCCCCCTCAAACCCCCTCCCGCAGTCACTGACCTGCAGCACGAACGCGATGACGAAGAGCATGCAGTTCTTGGCGGCGACGTGCGAGGCGGCCACGAGCTGGCTGCGCCCGACGCTGAGCTGTATGGAGCAGGCCTCCTGCCGGATCCGCCGCCAGGTCAGCACGTACAGCACAGAGTTGATGGTGAAGACGGCCAGCAGCAGCACCGTGTTGACGCCCAGGTAGACGGCCGGGTGCGCCAGCACCATGTCGAAGTAGCAGCTGCCGGTGGAGCGGGCAATAACGTCAGAAGCCAGTTGGGGAGCTGGAGGGGACACTGCAGTCAGGGGCCGGGTAATGAGCACATCGAGCATTTCCGATTCAATCGCTAAAATTTTAATGGAAACCTGATCATTCGGTGTTGATAGATTCAACATTTGCAGTCTTCGACAAAATTGTGTTCTGGAAGATGTGGAAACATACAGGGCAGGGCCTGAGGTTTTTTTTCCAAAATTTATCGGCGCATGAATTTGTGAAAGTGCAGACGTCTGATTAAATTCCCTCCCCAATCATGTTTTGGTGCATTACGACTGGAGTTAAACTGCACTCAGCGGTCCGTCCTGATTGTGGCTTAGACTGCTCACATATCGACTACGGTTCGATCAGCGGGGTCGAGCAGCCGCGGCCGGTCGGAAATCGGTCGTCAGTCCCTCGTCAAATACAGCTGTGAGCCGCCCGCCGGTCTGCCGCGCGGCTCAGACACAGCTGTGAGCCGCCCGCCGGTCTGCCGCGCGGCTCAGACACAGCTGTGAGCCGCCCGCCGGCCTGCCGCGCGGCTCAGACACAGCCTGCGGCGCCGCCCGCCGGTCTGCCGCGCGGCTCAGACACAGCCGTGAGCCGCCCGCCGGCCTGCCGCGCGGCTCAGACACAGCCGTGAGCCGCCGCCCGCCGGCCTGCCGCGCGGCTCAGACACAGCCGTGAGCCGCCCACCGGCCTGCCGCGCGGCTCAGACACAGCCGGCGGCGCCGGACACCGTCCACCGCGACCCGCCCACCTGAGCGCACGCCCGTCGATCTGACGGAGCGGGTTCTGCGAAACCGTCGGCGGCAGCTCTGTTCGCGGCGGCCCAATCGGAGCCGAAACGGTCCGGCGGCCGCGACGGCGATCACTCGATCAATGGCGGCCACAGCTCACCGGCGGCGGCCGGCGCCTCCTGGGCGGTAATTCCGCCGAGTGCCGCGATCAGCATCGCCCCAACCCCCACACCACACCCCCTTATTCAGCGAACTGCACCGCCGTGGATTCATCGAAGCAGCGGAAACGGCGACCTTAATCGGGCCAGAATCCGGGCGGCGACAGCCAGCGCCGCTGGTGTGACTGCCAGGCGCTTCCGGTATTTTACCGTTTTCGCTGTCATGTATTTTTTATGATATAGCATTTCAGCACACGTAAAGTTGTCTGAAGATGACGGCCAGCTTGCACAATGCAAGCACGAATCAATGGGTTCCTCTTAAAAGTGAAAAACAAAAGTCAGACGCTCAAGTTTGACCTCTAGAGCTAGGTTTGCTAGCTAATTGTTCTATGTATGGTTTTATATTTATCAGTCAGATGAAAAGAGGCAATCGATGCAGGGCTGTCAGCCTCTGTGCAAACAAATGAACAGGCGGTGACAAACGACCAGCACTCAACGATCCCGATCTAGCGGCAGGCTGATGACCGATGACGGCTTCAAAACGGGATCGTCGAAAAACCGACCCATGCCGCGATCGGCAGGACTTTGTAACAACACAGCGTGTCCAAAGCAATCGACCGATCGACTCTGTACAAGCCGCGATCCCGATGTCAGCACAGCAAGCCACTCCAGAATTAGCCCGTCGCTCTCCAATATTCCATTCATTAGTTCGACACTAACCGTTTAGTCAGTCAGGTATTTTGACAGAACCATTTATCAATCCACCTCGAATTCCTACTGTCGCCATATGTCATCAGTGGTATACCCCAGCAGTACACCTGGTGCAAGCGTGTCGACTTTGTGACATTTTATCCCATCCGGAGACCTCGTGTTATACCGCCGTATTATCCGCTCTAGAATCCTTTCCACACAAGTGTTATTATACCGCGGCGGCGTCCAGAATAGCTCGCTAATGATCCGCATGTAACTCTCGTGCCCGGTGCTGGCGACGTGCCGTGGTTATGGATGTCTTTTCCCGGGTGGATGCCTTCCACGCCCGTTCCATATGGTTTGGGGTATGCCTGTGAGCTGGGAATTTCTGTATATAACGGAAACCCTGGACGAACCGCTACCGAATACCGGCATCGTTTACTTCCATTGAGTTTAAAATAATGCCTAACACTTCCTTGCAGATTTCATTAGTTGGAACAGTGAGAAATGTGTATCACAAAAATTGCTTGGTGCTGGGGGTCAAGACTGGCAGTGAGCTAGTCAAGTTTTGTCAGTTTTGTCAAGATTCAAAACGCAGTCTTATTTTAAAATTTGTCTGACATCCACAGCACCCACCCACCAATCGTTTCGCTTGATCCGAACGACACTGCAGTCCCGAGGCCGCCGGCTCCTTCAGTCACTCCCGCCCTGTCGGTCCTCTCTGAGCCTTTTCTAGGCTAATGTCGTCCGGTCCGGCCCCCGCCATTCACCGCACGCGGGAATCCCGAGGGCCCGATGAGAGCAGATTTGCCCAGCTGAAAAGGCTAATGATGAATTGATGCGCCCTACCACAGAGCTTCTAACCACATCAGCGACCGCCGGAATCTCCGCCGCACACTAGCGGCGCTCCCCGCGACCGGGCGAAACTGCAGGGCCGGGGAGACCGTGACCTGCAGCTCTGGCGACGACGGCAACACGTCATCGGCGCGCGTGTGACCGGATCCAATCACTCTCGGTCGCGGAGCGGCCGCCCGGCGCGTCAGACGAATTGGGGCGACAGCGCGGGATAAATGGTCACACGAGCAGTCGGTCGGGTCAGGTCAGCCCGGGCTGAGCAAGGGGGAGCAGGGACCGCGCTGACAGGGAGCAGTGCTGATAGGGAGACCAGGGAGGAGCAGCGCTGAGAGGAGCCCTCAGCCCAGGGAGGGAGCCTACTGACAGGGTGACCCAGGGGAACGGGGAGCCCGCCGTCAGCGTGAGCCGTGTGAATCCGCTGCCAGCTTGTCTGCTTTCTGTCATTGTTCGGTGTGACTGCTGTTTGGATGTGTTTGTAGAATAGCGAGAGAACGATAGGTGCGTTTATACAACAGTCACCATCTGCGGGGGCTATGCCTTCACCTACAGTACTACTACGATGCTTATACAGTATCCACCTAAGGATGTAACAAAATACCATTGTAGATAATTTTTACGAGGCAACTGGGTACAAACTTTCATTAGGCCGACATTTGCATCCCAGTCACAGGCCATCCAAAACGTCAAAAAAGGTGTGATTTGTATTGCTATTCCACAAAGTCAGCGTCCCACACCTTTGCTCTATTCGGAGTGCCATAATTCCCCCCGTCGAACGAAATGTTGCGCCCGTTACGTGACAGAATCCATTTGATGTCACCAACAAACTGATCGTAGGCAATTGCGTTATCGCGTGATCTCCAAAACGCCAATTTTTTCGTGAATCTATCGCTCAATTTGGGTGGAAACTGATGCCGATAGTCGTACATCGGTGATTGATTCGACATAAATAAGGTTCAAGCGCCCATACTGTTCTGATAAAAAAAATGGTCTTCCCCGTAGAAACCAAGCGGTCATTAATTTACCCTCATGTTCCCTTCAAACTTGTCCAAAACTTCTGTCAAAGAAGTAGCAAACTTGCGACAAACAGCTCGCCCAAATCTCCTCTCGGTTTCAATCTGAGGTCCACGTAAACCCGCCTGCGCGTATAAATCTCGGCCGACAAAGCCCTGGAACAGACGCACTTTTCCGGGGCGCCGCGCTCCGGGAGACGGATGGAACGAGTTGGGCCACTCAGGGACACTAATGTCCGTGAACGGTGCCATTTCAGCGCGCGGTGCGGTCACAAACCCGTAGCCGGCGACTGTGCATACATTATCAGAGCTCGGAAGCTACGGCACGCCAGAGGCCCATAGCATGGTGTCAGACGCGCAGTGCGACGGGTCAGAAGAGGTCAGCCCATGAGGCGACAGTCGACGCGACGGTTCAAGCAAGGTTGGCGCGGCAGACGACAGCGTTGAGCGGGTTCAGCCCGGAGACGACAGAACAGGGTAGGCCACCCCGATTCAGTGGGGACGACAGGTACAGGCGGGCTCAGCCCGGGAGACGGCAGGGTTGGGCGGGGTCAGATCGGTACAGTGGGGACGACAGGCACATACGGGCTCAGCCCAGTATACATTGAAGCTGACAAGGACAGGAGGGTCAGCTAGGTCTGGACCGAGAGGCTTTGGAACGAGCCGGAAGTTATCAGTTGGAACGGTGAACTGGGGTACAGACTGGTCTGTAGAAGTGTCTTATTGGAGTCAACTGGGTCATGGATGAGTGATTGGGACCAATCCAGATCTCTAGGCCAAAAATACAGCATATGGGATGATTGAAAAGCGACCACATATGTAATTCAAAAGAAATGTAATAGAGACCCAAAGCAGGCATGGTTGAAAGCCCATTCAGCCAATAGACCAGTAGAGCTTGTGGCCCGATCGCGGTAGGCCGGAAAACCGAGCGGGCAGCGCACTAGTGCAGACAGCGGACAGGCTTCAGTGGGCTGGCAGCTCGAGCGTCAGTGAGCCAGCGCTGCGCCGATCTGTACACAGCAGCGAGCAGTGCCGATCAGTCGGGTCTCGCCACAGCTGCGAGCTACAGGCCGCCGTCCGATAGCAGCTGCACACCCAGGCAGTCGTCACTCAGAGCCGAGAATAGATCACAGCTGCGTCCTGATAAACTCGCAACCAGGGTCGGCTCACGCAATTGCAGTCGGCCCGAGAGCAGCTACACATTGCAGCCCGGATCTGCCTGGGTGATTGGAACGGTGCGCCGTTGCTGAAGTGCAGTAATTATAGACGACGAGCGCGTTATCGGACCTCTGAGGGGCGATTCAGCTGACGGTTCGGAGTGTGTCAATGCATCATCATCATCTCTCTGCAGCCCCTGTCCCGCCGGGGCCGTCTGTGCCGGACTGAAGGGGGTGCAGAGGAGGTAGGTCAGGGCCGCCCCCGGCCCGGCTGCCGGTGTCCGCTGCAAAGGTCGAGGCCGCTCAGCGCGCGGCGTGCGTCCTAAAGGTCGGGCGAAATCAGATGGCGATCTCTAGAGAACAGTGTGATCAAGCAGC